ATAGGAGACCTTCTGAAGTTCTGTTGTGTATAGGAGACCTTATGAAGGTCTTTTATCTATATATAGGAGAAGGTCTTCTATCTATAGGAGATCTTCTGAATATCTTCTATCAACAGAGGAATATCTAAAGGCTCTCTACCAATAGTATACTTTCTGAAGGTCTTCTATCTACAGGAGAACAGCTAAAGGTTTTCCAGCAATAGGAGACTTTCAAAAGGTCTTTTATCAATGGGAGACCTTCTAGAGGTCTTCTATCTATAAAATACCTCCAGAAAGTCTTCTATTATAAGAGGCCTTCTGAAATTTGTCTATCTTCTGGAGATTCTTTGAATGTCTTTTATCTTTAGGGGAATTTTTTAAGGTCTTCTTTAAATCCTTTTACAGGACCTTTATTATGTCTTCCAGTGGCACGCGTATATGGTAGACAACTTAAACAATTAAATGGCAGTAAATTAAAAATTTATGACACCCATTTTGTTCGCACATAAATCAGTTCAAGTCCTACACTCCCTACCACACACACACAGACACACACATACCTACTCCGCACAACAGTTTGGCGACTACTGGATTTTCTTTGGAGGATATTCGCCTCCTACAAATAAATAAACATGTAACTACGTCATGGCAATTATGACTTTATTAAAATGTGAAGAACATAAATTAAAAACCAAGATTGCGTAAAACGTTATTGGACATAACAAAAATAAACAACTACTACAACAGAAATAGCAACAACAACAACAACATTCCCTCACAATTTAGTGGTTGTTGGCTTGAAGAGAAACAAGTCAAGTAATCAAACCCTAAGAATTACGCCTTAATTTATTACAGCTAGAATGGTGGCAGAGTAAATGAAAAAAGAACCGACTGATAAACGGCAAAAGAGGGAAGAGGTGAAGGGAAGAGTTGAAATGGCATAGGGGACTAGTGGATAGAAAAAGTTTTAGATTCCATTAGATTTATTTAACGAAATAGAATTATTAACACATTGATGATAGAGGACATGGCTAAACTTATGGAGGTTTAGCATTCAATATCAATGTCTGGGGGTGTGTGTTGTGGGAGTGTGGATGTGCTTGAGTGAATATGTAGTTGTTTTTTATTCAATAGTAAAAGAAAGTAATCGAAAAATAACAACGCTGTTCGAAATGAAAGTTGTTTGTATTCGAAAAGGTTAAAATGATCATAAAAATTGGTTTTTATGTTTCTTTTTTTATACTCGCATTACAAAAAAGACAAAATTCACAATTCGTAAATTAAAAATTTCACTATTTCCAGGGACGAAAATTTATCCAGAGCAGGATTTTTTCAATAGCGCATGTAGTGTTTTTTTTTAGAACTATGGGTATGAAGGTCCGCAACATAAAAAAATCCACAATTTTGGAACAAATATTAAAAACGATTAAAAAATCTCAACAAATTGACGTTATTAAAAAAAAATCGTTAAAAATTAACACACATTCAAAAAATTGGAAAATCCAAGGTTTTAGCCACGAAGCCGCGATATTTGAAACAATATTTAAAATTAAACATTAAACGGATTTAAAAAAAAATAAAAAAATTATCATTTAAATCAAATCGCAATTTTAAATATCCAGTATTTTTAAGAAAAATCTAAAAGTCTGAAGTTTTTTGAAAAAGATATCTCAAACAATTAACGTTCTGGGCCAGGAGTTGCGGAAGACAATTTAAAAAATCCACGATTTCCCGAAGAAATTCTTAAAAATTCCGGTTCATGGGTGTGGAAATGGAAATACCATTAAATCCTACATTTCTGCTCGGAATGTCCTTAAAAAATCTAACAAGTGAATCAATTTGGGGGGTCCTGGAAACAAACTTTTAAGAAATATGTGATGATCGTGAGATTTATAATTGTTATATAAAGTAAGTCTTGAATATTTTTGAAAAATCAATAAGCTCTGTGCGTCCTTGATAGAAAATATTCCAATCAAATCTACATTTTCTGTTAGGAATCTTAAATAATTTGCAAATAGTTCCAAACATTTTTTGAGGTCTTCAAAAAGTTAAAAAACTAACTATGGTCCGCCGTTTTTTTAACATTTTTTAAATCCACACATTTTGTGCGGAGATCATTGAAAAAAAAAAATGTTGAGTTCTTCAAAAAATCTTAAAAGCCCACTTTTTTAAAATATCCACCATTTCTAGTAATTGATTATTTTATTTTCTAAAAAATGTCAATTTTTTGTCCAGGTGATCCTTGAAAAAATTAAAAAAAAAAACTAAAAAGTCTACGATATTTTATTAAAAGTCCCAGGAAAAATTATCAATGATTCCTGGCAGGAAGTTTTATGTCGGACGCATCAAAATTATCTCCTGTAAATTCTCCTGTTTCTTGTCAGGAGGTCCACGATTTGTGGTGACGAGTTTTTTAAAAAAGTACCAAAAATCCATGATTTCTGGTCAAAAGGTTTCAGCCAAGAGGAAAGAAAAAAATCCTAAAAAGTCCACAAACTTTGATAATGAGGTCCTTGAAAGGATATTCTTGGAAAATTCACTATGTATAGTCAGGAGGTCCTTAAAAACATTTTTTAGAAACTAGTGACTTCTACTCAGGTTTTTTTTGTTAATTATGATTAAATAATTGATTTTGAAAGAAAAAAACATTTCAGTCAGGTTGTCCTTGAAAATTTTCTAAAAAAAAATCTTTAATTTCAATTAAGACTTAGCTTGAAAATCCACAAGAGATCATTAAAACAATAAAATGTAAAAATAAATATTTTTATTTTGGAGTTCCTTGCAGTTGTTTTAATTTTTTGTCAGGAGATTCTTTAAAAAGATCCTGAAAATATTCACAGATTTCGGCAAGGTTAAAAACATTACATATTTTTTAAATCCAAGATTTTTTATCAGGATGTCCTTGATATTAAATTCTAAATTATTCCAAATTTAATTTTTTTTTTTCAATTTCTAGTTAGGACGACCTTGGGAAGGATTTTTTAAAATTCACAATTTTGAAAAAAATTCTTAAACATTTTTTTGAGAGCCTATATTTCTGACCAGGGCCTCAATTCTTCTCCTATGAAAATGTGAAATGAAAACTTTTATAGAGGAAAGAAATGTCAAGTGAAAAATTTTATAAAGGAAATATTTTTCATTTCAAATTTTCATAGAAGAAGAATCCAGCCGTAGGAGTTCCTTGAAAAAATCTAAAATTTAAATTTAATTTTGTTTTGGAATTTTTTAATATGTTGTTTCCGGTCAGGACATTTTTGGAAAAGCTTATTAAAAATCAACAATTTTTGAAACATTTTTAAAAAATATTTTGAGAGCCTACATTTCTGATCCGGATGTCCTTGTATAAATTTTCATAAAATTCCACGATTTCTGGACTGGATATCCTGAATTATTTTTGTGTTCCACAATTGGTACTTCAAAAAATTACATAAAATTTACGATTTCTTGTCAGAAGATCCATGACATAATTAAAAAAAAATTATTATTGATCAGGAGGTCCCTGATTTTTTTTTAATAGATCCAAGATTTTTTTTTATTTTTTGTCAGAAGGCCCTGGATTCTTTGTAGATTTTAGATTTCTTTTTGGTTCAAAGATTTCCGGTCAGAATTACCTTGGAAAGGTTTGTTAAATGTTTACGATTTATAAAAAGAAAATGAAGAAATGATTGAAAAAATCGTAATAGTCTAAAAAATTCTGCTTAGGAGGTCCTTAAAAAATTCTTAAAAAAGGTTTTTTAAAGTAGGGTATATTAACTTTGTCATTCCGTTTGTAACATCCTTAAATATTCGTCTTAGACCCCATAAAGTATATATATTCATAATCAGCATAAAATTCTAAGTCGATTTAACGATGTCCGTCTGTCTGTCCGTCTGTCTGTCTGTCTGTCTGTTGAAATCACGATACAGCCCACAATATTTGACGTAGAGCGCCAAAATTTAGCAGAGCTATTTGCATTGTGTCTAGGATGGTTGGTATTGAAAATGAGATATATCGGTCCACGTTCTGGTATAGTCCCCATATAACGGTACCTCCCGATATTCGGTATTTTGATGATTTATGCCACATTTTTTCACGGATTTGTCTGGAAATTGGTATTTGTGGGTCATAATGGGTCCTAGTTCGTGTGGCGAAACATTGTAATTATAGGTCCACGTTTTGGTGTGGCCCCCATATAACGGTACCTCCCAATATTCGGTAATTTGATGATTTTTGCCACATTTTTTTCACTGATTTGTCTAAAATTGGTATTTGTGGGTCATAATGGGTCCTAGTTCGTATGGCGAAACATTGTAATTATAGGTCCACGTTTTGGTGTGGCCCCCATATAACGGTACCTCCCGATATTCGGCATTTTAATGATTTTTGCCACATTTCTTCTGTTTCTTTTACCCTAAGGTGGAGGGTATTAAAAGTTAGGCCCGGCCGAACTTAATGTTTTTTTACTTGTAGTTTAATAAGCCTGCCTCGTATAAGACTCTCTTAATATTTACATGAATTCTAGAAAACCCTTTGAGCTTTCACACCTTTAAAGTGTGTGGGTTACTCTTCACTGTTATTAAATAAAAGCAATTCCGAAAGCTTTTCATTCTATCTCTCTTCCACACAATGTAAACATAACATTGCGTGGGCGTAATATTTTCCTAACACCCCAAAGCTTTTCTTCTCCACTGTTATGGATTAAAGCTTTTTTACATCCCTACCACCACCAACACCGCCACGACCTAACACTTTTACGAAGTTATATTATGAATGAGTTGTGGGTTAACGAACAGGACTAGTAAGTACCTCCTGTTGCTTCGCCTGGGTTTTTTGCTTCGTATTGGGCAACTTGTTGTTGCATGCTTGTGGACATTGTTGGCGAGCTTTTGTGGAACTTCCAGTCACTGGAAGCTGTTCGGTCACAATGTGGGTTTTTGTGTGTTTCGGTATTTTTTGGCTGTGCGCGCATTCCTGTGGATGCTATGCGTATTGGCCAGATGAAGATGTTTTGGGTTCGTTGCCAGCACTACCTGATGCTTGAAATCAGTTCAACCTGGTGAACACAGACTGCATGTAGTGTAGAGCGGTTAAATAAGCGTGTCTCCGCCATAACGAAAGTATCCACTTTCTTCTGTTTAGTTCCTTCCTCATTTCATTACTACAGCAACTACTACTGACTGACTGGCTGGCTGGCTAGCAGCAAAGTAAACGTAGAAGCAGTGGCCGAACATCATAAGCCAAAGCACAGCATCTTTTCATCGTCCGATGCTCGCTCGCTCGCTCAACATTAGAACATCCACCAACTTTAATCTCCAGTAACTTTACAGTGAATTTGTGTTGATTCGGCAAACATTTGAAACTTAGTGAACCCGTTGGACAAAGTGTAGAGCAGTGTTAAAAAATTCAAATGTCAGGTCATTGCAATTAGTCGAGCGGACATCAGTTCGATCATTAGCATATGGCATCTAAAAGTGATGTCAACATGAGCTGCCTGTGTCGTTGTAGCAGCCACAGCCATAGACGCCAAGCAAGGGTAAGTGTTTTGAATCTGGATGATATGATTTTTAGATTTAACCTCCGGTCATGGAAACCCATTGCTGCATGATGTGACATAAAATCGAAACCAATGACAACAGCATGTTACTTTCATCCTATAATACTTGTATGCATCCAACCAACCAACCAACCAACCCACCACCCATCTAACCATCCATTTATTCATGTATCCATCCACATGATGGGTCCATATTGTGTGCCAGTGTCAGTGTCATTCTTGTTCGACTGTCATGTTAACTGTTACTACAGTCATCTATCTGTAATTAATTTCTCTATCTATTGACAGGCGTCGGTGGGGTAAAAAATTGGGGGAGCAATGGAGGTCAATTATGTACCTTTATCTGTTAGGAATTTCTGGAATTTTTTATGACCATATGGAACGTTGTTGGTTCTGTATTTTTTGCCATATGGTACAGGGAGGTGGTAGAATTTTCTCTGTGCTTTTGGATGTTTTATACAGTGGACTAAAGGAAATGGGGTGTAGTTTTCAGGGATATTTGGAATATTTGATAATTTGAGGTATGGAAGTACTTCGAATGGGTTTTAACGTATGCACAATTGTCGACCGTCGGTGTATATTTTTTAAGTGGTTAATCAGGTGGGATAATGCCAAATAAACAAATTTATTGTTGTTTGCAATGAAAACTACAATTAAAACAAGTAAGCAAAGGCTACAGTCGAGCGGGGCCGACCGTTGAATACCCTACAACACTATAATAAACGATACTGTTTATATAGGCGAGATACTCGAAAGAACTCCACAAGATATTGTTACAAATTATAAAAGAAAACCATTAGGTTTCGTTCTCTAATTTTCGAATAATAGCAACTTAAACTAATTTGCTCATTTCTAATTTATTGATAGATGTTGCACGTAAATGGTCTGAAACCAATATTTCCCAAAGACCTATAATCTCTCAGAAGTGGCAAAAGATTAACATTTATTATTGGTTTTTGACTGAAACGCATCTATATGAGATACAGACATTTGACTATATTCTTCCACGAAATCAGCGTTAACGAAATAGTCAGAAGTGCGTCTTTCCTGTATTTGTGAATTCTTCAAAGAGTCACTGGAATTGACATTTTCGTATTTTGTCTACAAAAGTTGGCAAACTATTTCGCACATTAATATTTTTGGATGGCCATCCAAAAATGCTTGGTCTTTGCAATGTCCGGTAACCCCCATTCAAATGTGCGAGAGGATCGGGCGATAATTACGACCTGCTGACAGTTTTGCAGTTTTTTGGTCCATTTCAACCCCTAAATATATGGCGATCATCTCCAAAAAGAGTAGGCTTCTATTCTGACCCTCATCTTATCCCCATGTAAAATTTCGTAAGGATCGGGCCATAAATGCGATCTGTATATTATACCCTGATATCCTAACTACTTAGTTTTGTTTGCTGTAGAAATATTATCAAATGTTTAATTCAAAATGAAAATATGCCAAAAATATGACAAAATTGAAAAAAATATGAGAAAATGTTAGAAAATCAATATTTTCATCTTTAGAGAGATATTTTTATGCGATTTTTTAGGCGTTTTTTCTTTTCTGCCAAGAGGCCATTCTGAATTAATGAGAACTGTCGAAATCAGTTCAGCCGTTCTCGACATATAAGAGATCTTTCAAGCATATCTTCTTTGATAGACATATATATCGCACTTATTTTGCTATATATCCGATTTGATGGATGTTAACATCAATGTAAAGATCAGAAGTAACCTTGTCATGGCTTTGTGATTTCGCAGGGATTTAAAATATTCGCGGTTTAATGAAAAATTTTGAATTTTTTCAACACAAAAGATATGGTTTATTTTACCCGCTAAATATTATCCGATGACCACCCAAATTGGTAGGCTTCTTCCCCGCCCTAAACTCTAGCTACATGCGCAATTCCGCGTCGATTGGTCCATAATTGCGACCTGTAGAGCAAGTGCAAAATCAGGAATTTTTTCAGTTTTTGGTCCATTTCAACCCCTAAATATTATGCGATAATCTCCAAAAGAAATAGGGTTCTATTCTGACCTTAACCCCACCTACATTCTAAATTTTGTGAAGATCGGGCCATAATTGCGACCTGTAGAGTGATTACAAATTAACATGGACAGACGGACAGACGGACAGACGGACAGACGGACGGACGGACATACATAGCTAGATCGACTCAGCTCGGCGAGCTAGGAAGATCCATATATACTTTCCCATATGGGAAACCAATATTTCGAGGTGTTACATAAATTCTGGCCCAATCAAACTTATAATACCCCCAACACATAGTGTTGTAGGGTATAAAAATCTAGAAATTAATTTTTGGAATGCGATTTTAGTAGAAAGCTTATATAAGCATAGATTATTGCATTAGTACGTCTCTGGAAAAAGTATTAAAGAATTATGACGATATGTAAAGAAAGCCTTATGGCCGATAAAATTCATTATTTTTGGGCAAGAGAGCCCATTTTTATATCCAAGATTTATTTATAGCCAAGATGTGTCTGTCTAAAACTCTTAAAAATTCTGGTTTTAAAGTCACGAGGTCCTTAATTTTTTTTTTATCAAAAATTTCCGTTCGGGAGGGCCTTGAAAAGCTTCATTAAAAATCTACGATTATTTTAAAATTCTTGAAAAAATCTTAAGAGTCCAAAATTCTTCATAAAGAGGTCCTTGAAAAAATATTTAATAAAAAAATAATTTTGATCAGAATGTTATTGGGAATTTTCTTGAAAAAAAATTACAATCACTTTTCATCAAAAAATGGAACGATTTCTGATCAGGAGGCCTTTGAATAATATTCCTAAAAAAACCAAAATTTCTGGACATTAGCCTAGAATAAAATTTCTTTAATACACTCTATTGATGGTGAGGAGGCCATTGAAAAAATATTTGGATCTCTGGTTAGGACGGCCTTGTTTCTTTTTCCAAAATTGTGGGTCAGGATGTCCATGAATACCGGCCGTAGGGACTTTAAAAAAAAAAAACTTAATAGAATAAAATTTTTGATTAGGAGATCGTTAAAAAAATCTTAAAAAATAAAGGCTTTTAAACATAAGGTGCTTTTACATAGAAATTTTTTTAAAAATTTACGATTACTCGTGTTAAAAGTTAAAAAATGTTCTTAAACAATTTACATTTAGTAGCCAGAAGATCGTGGAATTTTTTTAAGTTCCATAGTTTTAAGTCGAAAAAATGTCATAGAAAGTCTTTGATTTCTGATAAGAATTTTCCATAACAATAATTCTGAAAAAAATCTTTTTGATCAGGAGGTCCCTCAATATTGTTTTATTTTTTTAACAAATTCCAATTGGTAGAAAGGTTGTGTAAGCATCGTTTGTTGCATTTCTATGGTTTCGGAAAAAATATTGAAAAATTATGATTATTTGTGAAGAAAGCCTTATGACCGATAATATTTACAATATCCATAAAAAAAGTAAATTTGTATGAATATTATCAATATTATTGAAGGATCGGATTTTGGATTTTGGTAATTCAATGAGCCAAGTAGTTTTATTGTTTGAAAAATCAATAGTTTTAATGGAGACAAAAACTGATGTGAATATTTATGCTTGGGAGTCAAATTGATAAAATCAAATCACGATTTTATAAGGATTTTGAGTATGACTGTTAACGACTGTCGAAATATTGAAATAAAAATATAGAAAAAAGTATAATTTTTGCTACTATAAAAAGTCATTAAAGAAATGATGTCTTTTACACTCCGCCAGTGATAGATTGAAGAAATGTGAAAATTGTCAAACTATTCACATAACACAAGAGCCAAAAATGGCCAGCATAAATATTCTTTTTATATTTTAAAATATAAAATATTGTCTCTTTTTTGACAAGCAAGTTTAAAAAATATATCAAGATTAATATTGAAAATTCCTAACAGAAAACACTCGTCTCTAAAAATGAACACAACGTTTACTTTCATATTTTCGGCGAAATTGTGGAGAAAATAGGTGTCAGATTAAATTTAAATATGTAGATTTTTTATATTTTCCATATTCCATATTTTCGATTATATTTAAAAGTACGACAATATGGGGACATACGTACAAAATTTCAAAACGCTGTCATTAATAGTTGATGATTTTAGAATTGCATGCTGTTTATGAATACAAATACTTTAAGAATATTTCCCCTCTTACTTTTTTTTTCAATTATCGGAAAAGATTTTTCGGACACCGAGCATTTTACGTATATATTGTTACTGATAGATATGCAGGGTGAGGTGAAAAAACTGCAACCATCTTCAGACTGCTGTCATTTCTAAGCCACTCGTCCGACAGCTCGTAAAATTATTCCAGTGACAGCTCATTATATTGTTTACCAGCGTACAAAAGTATATTTGCCTGGAAAACCACAAGTGGCTATCGTTGTAGCACTCCAGCATTTAAATGTGAATAAATCTTTTGTGTCGCGTACCATCGCTCGTTACTGTGATACTGGTAGCGTAGCCCGACGTCAAGGAAGTGGACAGTTACATCAACAGTTACATCAGCAGAAATGGTTCGAAAAGTAAAGAAGTGAATTGATCGAAACCCCCGTCACAGTGGCCGAAAAATCGGTCTTGAGCTGAACATATCGCAATATTCCATTCGGCAAATATTGAAAAAAGAGCTCGGGGTAGTCATTGAAATTAAAAAAAGTGCAAGAACTTACACCGCAACATAAAGAAAATAGACTTAAAAGAGCTAAAGAGTTGCTTCGCTTGGCCGAAAGTGGTGAACTGCCGAATTTGGTTTTCTTCTATGAGAAAACATTCGTTGTCCAGCAGTTTGTAAACAGACAAAATGATCGGGTTTACTTGCCAAAGAGGTTAGCTGACAATGTACACGTTCGGTTGACCACCAGAACTCAAGCGCTGGCCATGGTGATGGTGTGGGCCGCCATAACAGCCGATGACCGCTCTTTGCTCGTATTAATCGAATAAATGCCGAATATTATCGCAAAAATATTCTGGGGGTGTACTAAAG